GCTGTGAAGACAGACAAAATCGCCAGAGGTCTGTAAGTTCATCTGTAGCAAACTTTTATCTGAAGACCCACAGAGAATTATTTTAAAGTATCCATTTTCCCTTTTTAAAAGTAAACTATTTTCATAACTTTTGATTTGGTAAATTTCTTTTGCTTGTCATTGGGAAGAAGCACTGGAATTTTGAAGCCACCCATTCGTAAAGAGCTAAGTTTGAGACAAAGTCAGGCAAGGGAGGCAGTGGTCTAATAGTCACGTGGTAGGGGCTTTTTCTCAAGTGGAATTGCCTCAACGGCACCATGTTTTAGGGCTGTTTCTCCCTTGAAGGCATCTATGAGAACCACGCCTAGCGGAGCATCTCCTTTGGAGTCGTTTCCTGTGAATACATACATTCACCTGAACTCTAGTTATTCCTTTATTAGAGCACAACAGAGAAAAGACTGACAGTACTGTTATTTCACGTGATTCTGGAATTGAGTGGTGAGATGGGATAAGAAAGAGAGGATCCTCTCTTAGATCCCTAGGAATTATTATATCAAAATATATTGACAGCCTACCACATGCTGGCTGTCTTGGGTAGAAGGGTCCCCAAGACTACCATCAGGCTCAGTGCTTCTCTAGAAAGACTCCCAAGACTCAGGAAAAGCGATTATACTGACAGTTATGGTTACTACAGTGAAAGGTACAGATTAAAATCAGCCGAGGGAAAAGCACGGGGATGAGGACCAGGAGACCAGAAGCAAGCTTGCAGGGACCCTCCCAGCGCAGTCAACGGGGACGTGCTTAATGCTCCCAGAATGACATGTGACAACACGTGTGACGTGTTGTCAACCAGGGAAGCTCCCCAAGCCTTGGTGTCCGAGGTTTTCATTGAGGGTCAGTCATACAGGCATGCGGTGTCCACAGGACTGAGCTCAGCAACCCAGACCCCAGCCTCCACCAGAGCAAAACAGGCGTTCACCGCAGTCACAGTGTTAGGGTAAACTCATTTGGTCAAACTGGTACAGCCCGGCCAAGGCCTCAGGTCCATGAAATCTCTTATCAGGCTGAATATTCCAAAGGCTCAAAAGTGACATTCCAGAAGCCAGCCAAGGAACCATCTGGAAAACAAGCCTTTCTTTGGAATGTGCAAAGTTTGAGCAACCCATACCTGCTAAATTAATCCTTTCCTGCCCACTGTCACATACGTTAGTTCATTTAATTAAAAGGAAAAAATCTATCTTGTGACAAAGTCTTGTTGTCCCCATTTTATAGATGAGGGATGAGTAGATAAAATAATTTGCTCAGGTCAATCCCTCGTTGCCTTCCTCTTGGCCCCGTTCCTCTCCCTGGTAGCACTTACCACAGTGAGAGTGTCATCCTTTGAACAATGCTAATCTTCCCCAATACTCGAAAAGCCTCCGATGCAATGAGCCGTGAATATTTTTTCATCCCCAGGCTCAAGACAGAGCCCGGCTTATAGTACTTGATAAATATGTGATAAATGAATATAACAGGCCATGACATGGTGGTTGAAATGTCCGCCCTTAGTCTTTTGAGTCCCATAGTAATATAATGTCCTTTATATCACAATGTCAGGCAGAAAAAAAAAGAAAACACCTGGAAATGAATATGACCTGGAATAAGTCCTACTCACCTCTTAGAATTTTTATGAAGCCCTATAGACTATTCTTTAAAGCTGAAAAGGACCTAGAGATTATATTCTTTAACGTTTTATTTTAGATAAGAAGAAGTATTAATTTTATGCAAATACCTGGTTAAATATAAAGAGAGGTAACATTTGTAATTGTCTATAAATTTCAAGAGAATCCTAGCTTGGAGTCAGGACAAATATACATTTCCATGTTCTCACTTTTTCTCTAAATAGATGCGATTGAGGAATGTGCATTTTGGTTTCAAGGGGGTTAGGATATTCAAATGTAACTAGCACCTCTGTCTTAGATCTTCCCAAGTTAAGGAAAGGACTCTTTTAGGTTTTTTGTTCCTTTTGTCATATTTCTTCCTTTCTAACCCTCTGTTTTGTATGTCACAGCCTTAAGCTGCACAGACATGACTTCTAATTTATCCTCATTTGGGTCCCACTCCCCTTGAATGAAATGGTAACCTGTGGAAAGAGTTGTATCGGCCACTTCTTCTCAAACTATCATGTGCATATGAATCACCTGGGGCTACTGTTGAAATGCGGGTTCTGATTCAGTCGTGTGGACAGGCTCCCAATGATGCAGGTGTGCTGGTCCGCTACCAAGGCAATAACCATCGAGACGATTTTATCTGTGCCCTTATCATCTTCTCTAGTACTGGCTCGCTACCACAAACTCGTTTAGACATATAAGAAAAAATCTCCATAGCTGTTCCTTACCAGCTCCAAAAGAGCATGATTTAAACAACAACCAGGGAAACCTAAACTGTTCATTCCAACACTGCTGACAAAAGTCATAAATATGAGCCAATTTTACTAAGAATTTTGACTTCAGCTTGGCTTTGAAGAAAGAGTACCTCCTACCTAAAATGTCTTATTTTTATGCTAGTATGTTTTTACTCCTTGTTTCTTGATCAAAGGATGAAGTTTATAGTAGTTTTTATTTCAGAGGCTGGAAAAAACCCTTCTATAAGTTTTCAGTCTCCCTCCCTGGGCAGAGTTAAGTCCCAGGAAGTGGATAAGTTTTGGACCTTTACATCTCAATGACTGAGTATGAAATAACAATTTGTGTCTTCATGGCCTCATTTCCGAAGGCTAATAAGCAGTGTTTTTCAGGTGACAATGAACAAAACTCACCCTCAAACAAGAAGCGCTTACTACTTCTCAATGGTTTTCATGCTTCTACTGTTGGATTTCTTTTCTCCTCTGCATCAACAAAGAGAGCACATTTGTTTCACTTTGTGAAAACTCTTCATTTTTCCCCCCGACTTTCCATTTCACGCTGTGTGAATTTTATTAAGATCTCTTTCACAGAAGCTAAGTGCTGGCTCTATGGGGCCTTAAGGGATGGCATTGGCAGCCTCTGTAATGTCTGAATCCTCTTGAGACATTTCTTTTCTACTGAAAACTCCTTGGAGAATCATGGAGAAGAATTGAAAATCTTTTTGGTGCTGGAAGACATAGTTTGGCCTCATGAACATTTTGTGCAAATCTTTTGAAGTTGTTACCACACAAATTTGGGGTTCTCTTGCCCAATGTGTGTAAATGGCCAATTAATTATAGCATCAGCCCCTGGGGAAAAGAGATCGGCTTTATTCTGTGAGATCAACCTGCAGGGAGGCAGAGGGCATGTGCCCTCGGATCTGTCTCCCTGATTCAGGATTTGTGGTGAAATTTAAGAGGTTAGGGAGAAGAGGCTGGCACGTGGAAACGCTGGTGGGACAAGTTTTGATTGGTGGGCTTCAAGCATTTATGGTAAGGTTTTAAACATTTATGAGAGGGGTCTAAACATTTATGATGGGGTTCTAAACTTCTATGATAGGGTTCTAAACATTTGTAATGAGATGGGGAAGGAATTTTAACACCAGATCTTCCTGAATGAGGGACCACCCCCCCACTTCCAAAAAGAGCCTGACTTTCAAGTTCCAGTTGTGTCCCAGGCCTTGGGTTCAGTGGGAAGGAGGAGCTTTGGTTCTGGGGTCATTTCAGGTCAAGATTTCCTCTTCTGTGCACGCTCTGGCTAGGTGACTTTGCGCATTTCTGAAAAGCAATTCTTAATCACTCTGCTGATAAGAGATGGGGTCAGTTGAACTGGTCCTGGAGGGCCCGTGGTTACAATGTTATAACCTGAAAACCAACAACACAGCAATCCAATTAGTGTCCAATATCTGAGTAGGAACCTCATATTGATATAGTGTGGGTCTTTCTGAAAGCCTCCAATTATTTTTAAAAGCTGACTTAAAATACTAATTTAAAAAAATTTGTCATTTTAGAATTAGTCTTTGTTAATAAAACTTACCTATAATCCTGTTGCCTAAGAAATTGTCTGTGGTTTTATTCCAATAAAAATTATGTTTTGAAAAGGTAGTTATAATTAAATAATTGAAAAATAATTTGTATTCTGACTTTTTTCCTCTTGAATTTACAGAATAAGAATTTTTAATGTTAATTTATACTCTCAGAAATTACATAGTAATGGCTGTGTAATAGTCCATCAGATAAAAATACTATAATTAAGCCAGTCATTTCTCAATGGTGAATATTGAGATTAGTTCCATACTTTCTCTATGATAAAAATAGTAATAGCTAACATTTTTGAGTGCTTAATATATGCTAAGCAACACTATAAATATTTTGTATATCAAGTCTTTTAATTTTCATAAGGATCTTATGAGATGGGTACTATTATTTTTCATATGTTAGAGATGTGTAAGGAGATGCAGGCAAGTTATTCAACTGACCCAAGGTCACACTGCTGGTAAGTGGCAGAGGCAACATTTGAACCAAATATCCTCATATGCAAATAGAGTCCCCTTTATGCCATGTTGTTTCCTAGGCTATGCCAAGATTTACTTAAGGATTACTCAGTCTAAATAAAAGCTTCAGCCTATGTATGCAAATTCATAAACTAAAAACTGTATAGTCTTTCCCTTGGTTCCTACTGTAATAAGTATAAAATTGCAGATTTTTCTTAAGTTCTTTAAATTTCAAGCATTATCAAGTCACAGGAGATAGCGCTATGATATCACAAATGTGAAAATCCTTAAAGAAAACAACTATTTGTATTCTTTAAATATTGGTAAGACATGCATTGCAATAACCTAAACCACTTTTACACTGTTGTGAACACTTCATCTTTAAAAGTCCAAATATACGTGGATTTCCAACCTTAGTTTTGTTCTCAAGTACCATTTAAAGATGCACTTGTTGGCTGGGTGGTTTGGCCAAGGATGAATCTGCTTCACTAACTCCTATGACAGTCCTGGAGGAGGGTAGCACAGGGCAGGGGCATCTTTTACATGGAGAACTGTTACGTACTCGAACCCATGAAGACCCATCTCTTTCCCTATCTCTATTCTCACAGAATGTGTGACACAGGAGAAGGACTATTCACTTTTCAAACAAGGGAAGGAGAAATGATCTATCAGAAGGTCCATTCTGCGACACTGGCCATAGCTGAGCAACATGAAAGATTAATGCTAGAAATGGAGCAGAAGGCCCGGGTAAGGCTCCTTCCTCGGTAACCTAACAGCCTGGAAATGAATGTCACTGAGGTCTGATGCACGTTGTGTGTATGTGGGTCCATTTACATAGCACCTGGTTGTCCACCCCTACCCTGGCCCGAGAGCTTGCCCCAGTTACGGAATCTTGTCTCTCTAATACCCTATTCAGCATATGACAAAAGATGTTATTTGTGGCTACTAACAGGGAACCCTGCACTCTGTGTATCTACCTATGACCTGTTGCCATGGTTACCAAAAAAAGGGGTGGAATGCATAGAGAGTGAAATAAGAAGCAATGCTTTCTGCACATCTCCACATAGAGTTGGATGATCAGAGATTCAAACGTGGGCCCAAAATAACTAGGAAAATTAAGTTAATACCAGAAAAGTTTCCACTTTTCTTTTTGTTTTTATATTTATTGTAGATTTTCTGAAACTTCTATCTCTTTCTGTACCTGTTTCAGAGCCAAAAATAAAATGTTTGCAGAAGGAGCTTATACTGTTTACCAACAGAACGATTTGTCTATTATCCTGCCCTGGAACTATACTACAGTTTCAGGGTCAAGCTAAGAAATAATTTAGTAAAGAATCTGAAAGAGTAAATTTTACAAGTAGCTGAAAAAAATTTATAAGCTTTACTACTAACTTTTTTGAAGAGCGAACAAAAGAATGATTATTGGCCACAAACTTTTTTTTTTTTTAATTATTTTTTATTTATTTTTATTTATTTGTTTATTTTTCCCCAAAGCCCCAGTAAATAGTTGTATGTCATAGTTGCACATCCTTCTAGTTGCTGTATGTGGGACTCGGCCTCAGCATGGCAGGAGAAGTGGTGCGTCAGTGCGCGCCTGGGATCTGAACCCGGGCCGCCAGTAGCGGAGTGCGAGCGCTTAACCGCTAAGCCACGGGGCCGGCCCTGGCCACAATCTTAAGAGGTGAATTTCCTCTCTCTCTTCAGGATATATAGAGATGCATTAGATTTCATCTAGGAGAGGACTGGTGGAGCTTTGGGAAATAGGTGGGCCGCTCATCAGAAAAACGTTCATAATTCTATTCCAGTTTAAAGACTACAGACTTCTATGTGTAGTATTGTATTCATTTTGATATTTTAAATTCTCAATTACATAACGTTTTGAAATATAAAAGAAAATTATCTTTTAAATATAAGAAAACAAACAACTAGTTTAACAAATTATCTTATTTTATTCTTAATGCATTTCTAATTTTCTCAATACTACATACACATTTTTGTCTTTCTATCTAAGGTATGGTTTAAAGAGCCTTCCTTATACCTAAGAGTGACAAGTGCAAATCAGGCTTATACAGGACATTTGGCCTTCCATGGGGATGAAGGAGTAGCTTGAACACTAGTAGGTTTATTAATATGACTCTGGGATTAACTGAAGAAGCATCAATAGGAGGTTGGTATGACTTAATCTTCTAGAAAGATTTGGATTAAATTTAAACCATTATAACAATTATCTAATCAATATGACATTTTTCTAGTGGCTTAAATCAGGTGAAAAAGTATAACTATCAAATTTCAAATTATTTCAGAGTCTTGAGCATTCATTTCAGCCCATATTTGCAATCTGCTGATGCTCGTTTGCACCCAAAATTAACAATTGTGATGTCACTCGCCATTAGTTAGCAGTTGGAGTTCTTTCCCTAGAGTTGTTCTGAACAGTCAAAATGCTCATAAGCAGAGTCATTTAAATTATATTTTCATGAAGGAAATTCCAAGAGCTCGTTCATGCAACCACTTAATTGTCTGCCATAAAGGAGAGCACTCAGTTTGTGTCCTGGCTTGGTCTCCCAGTTTCACCACTTACTGGCTGTGTAATCTTGGGCAAGTTGTTTAACCTCTAAATGTCCATTTTCCATTATCTGTAAAATGAGAATGCCATAGTTCTACTTATTTGGTTGTTATGAGGTATCTATGCATTGTTATATATGAAGTGCTGAGAACAGACGTGGCACCTAGAAAGTACCATCAAATGTTCATTATTATGATGGTGATCCATCTGCAGGAGTGATTTTGAATAATTATAAGACTTGTAATGTTTGTGAAGACACTAAATTGTTTTTCCCAATTATAGCTAAATAATATCTTTTAATCCCTTTCAAGTATGTCTAACAATCTTGTGCCAAAAAAAACTTGCAAAACAAAATTTAACTCACATTTGCTGTTGATGCTGTTGTGTGTTCATCGTGTCCTGTGCCACTGAGACACAAGTCCGGGGTAGGAGCGAAGGAGTTAGAGACCTCCTGCCGAGATCACTTACCGCTCCCCAAGACCTGGGGCCGTCTAAAGCTGGAGCAGCACCCCACGGGCCCGGGTGCCTGAGGTGGAAGGGAAAGGGGCAGATGTCTAAACAGCAAGCTCAGGACAGCTCAACAAAGAAACCAAATGTTTCTAGAAGTCACAAAATCAGAGGTTCCATCAGCTTGGTGCCTATGTGCAAATGGAGCATTTGGTTTAATTTTTAAAACGATTGTACCACTACGCTTTTCTTGAAGGTTAATACTAATAAAATTACTCCATATCTAGTCCATTGTTTAGAGTAAGCTGAACCAATGATGCTTTTCTGAGGGCATGCTACCACCACGTGAAAACTGCCCCCATTCCCCAAATTCTAGGACCACAGGCGAAGGTTTCCAGGTCTCCCAGACATAACTTTTTCTTTTTCTAAGAGACCCCCTCTACATGCGCAAAGCTCTTTTAAAAAAGAAGTTCCAACAAGTATGAAACAGTACTTAAATACCCTGTATCTAACTCTTCATTTGCTTATTTAAAATAAAATGGTCTGTGCTATAAACTAGGCAAAAATATAACTTGGGAGTTGGAAAGATACCAAAAAACCTATTTAAAATATAAAAGTGTTGTACTTCATTTATTATGTATCTACTAAAAAATAGGAAGATGACACTGTTCATTGGCTTTCCAGTTTTAAAACTGCACCATGTGAGATTAAAATTGATCAGATAGAAAATGTTTACATATTTTTAATGTGATTAAAAAGATTTTACAAGATTAAATTACCAATGAGCTATATTAGCAACCAATGCCCCAAACATAGTTATTCAGGCAACTGAAGCATTTACTCAGCCTTTCAAAGAGAGATGATTTAAGAGTGTTACTGGCTTTATAGATAAACAAACTTGAATGAGAAATAATGTCTCAATGACCATTTCTTAACTATAAGAGAAAGAATTCAATATAATCTTTTGACATCATATGTGTGTAAGACTTTGTTTTTCCCTGGTGTATTTTCTTGAGGGACACAAGAATAAACATATTTTTATGTATCTCCATAATCTAAGTTAGGCAATGTTTCTATTCATGCTTCAAGAATCTGATATCTAGGAAAAGTTCCCAGTATTGTGAATAAAACAGTGCATTTGCACTGTAGAGTAGTGGGTAAAAAGAATCACTAAATTGGTAAAGCTGTTAAAAGTGTATATTTTGATTTCCTTCATTGAGAAAGATAATTGAAGAATTAATATTAACTGACTCAGTTAATAAATTTTAGAGTAAAGTTTAGCTAGTTATTAACCACTCTCAGGTTTGTAAAGTGCTTATTCTGTACTCAGTACTCTGCATGGTAGTATAGGGAAAACAAGAGAAGAGCAAGAAAGTTCCTTCTCTCAAGTGGCCCAGAATTTTATGGGATCAAGTAGCCTGTACTGCCCAGAGTAAGATTATCTCATGTCCTTTTATTCCTTGCAATATCGAAAATTTTCCATGTTAATGTAAATCATTTAACCAGATTGGTAAGATAGCACCATCACAAAATTTTGATCACTGATACTGAAAACACCACTTGGGCTTGTTTGTCATGTCAGTGGGAGCCTGATTGATTTCTTGGTTAATCAAATTATTGGAAGGTCTTCAGTGAAACCTCCAAAGAGAATGACTTCTGCCATCCAGGAAGACACTTTGCCCCTCTGCAGTCAGATGTATAGCTTCAACTTCTCACTCCTACAAGTTAGCAAAGGAAGATGATCATGATGGAAAAAGGGATAGCAATCTTAAGTCGTCTCTGTATTTCTTTACTTATTAACCCCAAACTAGTCTTACTTTAAAAGAGAGCTTGGTTTTGGGAGTGTGTGGGAGGATTAAGCCACATCATAAATTTTAAACAGGAACTATTTCTGGAATATTATTAAGATTCAAATATTTGAGGAAATTATTAAAGCTAGATATTTAAATGAACAGCACCTCCAGAATTTGTGTCCATCTCACAGAGATCATTCTTGCTCTTAGAACCATCAGAGTTCTTTGAATTCTATTGCCCTAAAGCATTTATAGGTGCTCTGCCGCACATGTGCAGCATTATCAAAGGAAGTTTTCGTTGTCTTTAGGAGAGAAGCCATTGATCGGAAACCACACGAAAATGTGGCCGTGTGACTTAGCCAGCTGAGGTTGAGTGCAGGCTCAAATCATCATCGACAACAAGACCTCAAATGTCTTGAAATATTTTAATTTGAGATTGTCATGGATCTGTTACATACACACACAGACAAAAAAATAATATGAAACTTTTTTAAATTTGTTTTTATATTCTTCAGATTAACAGGTGTTATAAAATGCCCACAAGTAAGGAACAACTGAGAAGACATGAAGGAAATTTAAATAAAACAGATTTTTCCTGATATCTTATCGAAAATAAGTAAATAAAAGGAAGAGAAGTTGTCGTTAGTAATGTCTAACCTTGTAACATTGCAAATGATTTAAAAGCATATCTGTAGATAGACAGCCTTCCATAATAAGAATTATAGTGTATTATTTTTTAAAAAACAGTATTTGGAATGTTCCTATTTCCAGTAATTCTTGCCTCCTGGTCACCAAAAAAGCTCTCTGCACAGTTTAAGGACAAATAACAGTGGTATTGAAATACCGGCAAAGTCTGATGCCTCAAGACCCCACTGCAGGACTCGCCGGAGGGCTGCTGTCCAAAACTGTCAATCCGATGGTTTTCCTCAGCTCTGGGGGACAGG